GCAGGCAGTGAGTACAGGGGCAATGCACATAAGATGTGAGGACAACCTCTGGTAGTGATTCTCACCTTCCACCTTGTTTGAGGCAGTTTCTGGTGGTTACTTAGTTGCATACATCAGGCTAACTGGGGTGTGAGGTTTTCCCATTTTGCCATGGTAGTACTAGAATTACAGACATGTATGCTCCTGTGCTGGCTTTATCTGTGTATTCAACCTCAGGGCCTCATGTTTCCACAACCAGCATTTTACTCACTGAACTGTCCTCCAACCCCACTGCATTTTTAGTCAGCATACAAATAGGCTTTCACTGTGACAGTGCCATATGCAGGTACATGCAAATACATTTATGTATCATTATATCTTACTTTTACTTGTCCCCCTAGCCAGTCAATCCCGTCTCTCCTCTCCAACTATCATAATATTGCACTATTGCCTGAATTGTTTTTGGACATGGAATTCTAGGTTGATAGCTATTTTCTTTCAGAACTATGTAAACATTGTCTTCTGGCTTCTTTTGTTGCTGCCGAGAAATCAGCTGTTGGTCATCTTTGAAAAAGAAGATTTTTTAACACTTCTTATTTCCTTTTTTTCTTTTAAAGATGTATGTCTATGTGGACAGGATCTCTTGTATCCTGGGATGGCTTAAACTCACTATCCAGCTGAGTATGACCTTGACTCTTCCTCCTTTACCCCAGAAGCACTGGGCCCAAAGAAGAGGGCCATGACCCCAGCTTTCTAGGCTTTTATTTCTTCAATTAAAACTTGAGTAAATTCTTTCTCAGCTTTACTTGCTTTGTGTATTTTGGGCTCTCTCCCTCCCTCCCTCTCTCTCTCTCTGTTTTTGGAGATAGGGTTTCTCTGTCACTTTGGAACTGTCCTGGAACTTGCTCTGTAGACTATGCTGGCCTTGATTGAACTCATTATCTCTGTGATGAGTTCACCACCACTGCCTGGCTAGGATACTGTTTCTTAATCATATTAGATTTTTATGGATTGCATGTGATCATTTCTATAGCAGAAATACCTTGAGGTCTAATTCTATTCACTGTTGTCCTTGCTGGCTCTTGTCTGGCGACCTTGTTTGCTCATGAGTTTTGTGATTTTTTTTTTTTTTAACTGTGAATTGCTTATTTTCCTTAGAATTTTATCTGTGAAAGTTTTAAGTCTGGAATAAAAGTCCATTTCTGCAGAGAGGATCTGTGTTACTTGTCTTAGGCATTAAGGCAGGACTACCTGCCTTTAGTATGCATTTAGTACCATTTTTGATGCATTCTCAGCTGGAGATTTTCTAAGAGAGGCTTTACATGAACAAGGCTTCAAACTCAAGTTATTAATATCAGTTTTCAAGAGAAACAACATTGAGAGAAGAAATGTATTCCTCTACAAAAGAAAGAGGTGGACACATTTTTTGTCACCCCAAATTGCAAGTGTAGCCTCTTTGGAACCAAATTTGTTGGTGAGAAAGGGAAGAGAACTCACTTGGGGTTTCTATCTTCAGTCAGTACCAAAACCTCTTCTTTGACTTCCAAGAGACGATAAAGCTATGAAAATCAACTCAGCAAATGTCAATGTCCTCAAACCTAATGCCTTCTCGGTGCCTTTTTTCTCTAGATCTCTGTGCCCACTTAGTTTCGGTTTATGCATTCCACTGATTCTCTCCAGCAAATCAAACTAGCATTTTAAACTCTTTACACCTATAACGTAGGTCTAGATAATATGTCTGCCCTAATGCCAAGAGATAAGGAGCTATATAGTACCTTTAAGCACAGGACAATAGTAAATGTATTTCAGGACACTAGGCTTAAACGATTAGTTAATTATTCTATACCTTTGAACATGGTCTTCTATATCCAACCCATCAACAAACTTTTTTAGTGATTCTTCATTTAAATCTCTAACTTCCTCCCCTCTACCCTTTTTTGAAATGTTGATTCTTTAAAAAGTTGGTTGCTTTTTTTATTTAAGTATACAGAATCCTTAATGTCTCTTTGGCAATGGAATATAATAGCATTTACAACTACAAAAAAGTTACTTTTGTTTATGTACCATGCACACATAGTTAACTCACACAATTCTTTACCACTCAGCACTCTAATGAAATAAACTACCTGACATTATAGGAACACATACACACACACACACACACACACACACACACACACACACACACACACACACGCTTACTTTTCATTTAAGATCTCTGCACTCGGGAGATAGAGGCAGGTGGGATCTCTGTGAATTTGAAGCCAGACCAGCATACATAATAAATCCCAGGCCATCCAGGGCTATACAGTGAGATTGGCAAGGTCTGTCCTTCTCTTTGCCCTTGCATGAGCCATATGCATTTTTTCCTAGCATGCCTTTGGTTCATAGTCTTATTAACCATCTACACCAATTTATTGCTGTTTTGTAAAGTTTTTTCTGGAACTCCCAAAATACCAGGTGTAGTTATAATTTACTAAGTACTCATACTTGAAGTATGTATTTTAAATAATAGTTTTAGGTTTATTTATTATATTTTATATGTATAAGCTTATGTATGTATGTGTACCATCTGGGGAGGCCAGAAGAGGGTGTCAGGGAAGAGTTCTGTATGGCCATGAGCTATCCTGTGGGTTCTGGGAATTGAACTCAAATCCTCTGAACTGCTGAGACATCTCTCTAGCCCCAGTATATATTTTAATTAATGTGACTTAATTAGATACAGTCCTTTATTAATGAAGTTAAGCTATAAACAGTTTAACTAAAAATTTGTTTTGTTTTGGGATAGGGTCTCACTATGTATCTCTGGCTGGCCTGGAACTAGAAGAGATCTATGTCTCTGCCTCCAGAGTGCTGGGATTAAAGGTGTGCACTACCATGTTCAGCTAGATTTTGGGGGTTTTATTTGTTTGTTTTGGTTTGTTTGCTGAAAGGTTTATTTATGTGTATGGGTGCTCTATAGAGAGCATCCGAAGAGGGCGCCAGATCTCATTACAGATGGTTGTGAGCCACTATGGGGTTGCTGGGAATTGAACCCAAGATCTCAGGAAGAACAGCCAGTGTTCTTAACCTCTTAGCATCTCTCCAGCCCCCTCAGCTAGGTTTTTAACTTAGGTCTGACTCTGAAGTCTGTGCTTTTTCTAGTTAGATAAAACTGCCTCTCAGAATTCCATTGTTGATGTTTATTAGGAATCAGACTGTAAAATCAGATGTAGCAATGCTTCACATTTAACTGGTTTGAGTGAAACAGAATCTTAAGTGGCACTGTAATTTATAAACTTTATTCATTTAAGTAAATTTCCTTGGAAATCCCCTTAAAGGAACCAGGAACAGTTTTCCAATAAAGACAACAAGCTCTTCCGAATCTCTACTCAAACCACCTAAGATCTGTCCTTCAGGGTAAATGTGGCTCCTGAAACCACAACATGTAGGGATTCATCCTACGGTCACCCAAGGCTAAGAAAAAGGTATTAAAGGCCCAGTGTGCAAAACTTATCTGATGTTAACAGAGACCAGCAAGCTAAAATAGGCTATATTATACCAAATTTAACCAATTCACAAATGGCCCTATCTCTAGACCTAGCTTCAGTTGTGATTTGCTTTGGGTATGTAATACAGAACCCACAGAACCAGTTTCCTGAATTAAAGTGTTATTGCCTCTCATTATTTCTAAATAATATGTAAGAAATCAAACTGAGTTTTGAATTGTACTGAATAATTTCAGCTTTAACACAAACATAAGGAACAGACACATCCTATAGACTTTTGAAAAATAGTTGGTTAATTAATTCTAGGCCAGATAAAGACAGGCAGGCAGGAAAACAATCTGTTCTTATCTCTACTGTAGCACAGTGTTTATCTCTCTTACCTTTCCTGTCTCGTCCTTCATCAACACACATTGCAGACTTCCTAGGGCAATGCAGAAATCCAAACAAGAGAAGAAGCACTAAAGTAATGGAGGACAGGCTACAGGAGGTGGACAGTGTCAGACACCATGTGGAAGAGAAGAAGGAATTGTCAGAATTAGCCAATGATCATTTCAAAGGTAGAGGCGAGAAAAACACCGAAAAAGGCCTTCCACCTCTTTATAGCAGGCTCTTTTCAACAAGAACAGAGGGAAGCTGAAGTTAACTTGGAAACTTGTCTTCAGAGACCAGATGTAACTTAGCCAACAGAACAAAGGGACAAAGGATAAGTAAGACTCTGCAGTCTAAAAATGTTAATGAAGAGACATAATTATAACTTGGAGAAAGGAAAAAATAACCAGAACTTTAATATAGAAGCAGCCAGGAATTACTGTTTCTCCCAAATACATAGACTGTTAATAGTATCCTCACTGTTTAGATAGTAAGGTGATGAAGGAGACATGCAGTTAAGTCTCTTAATTACATGACCTTACACTCTGAAATGTAATACAAGTGTCACACTTAATGGTGAGGTTCTAGAAAATGGACACCCAAAGGAGTTTTGCACATTTGCACAAGGCAAACTACCTCCTTTACTCCCACGCAACTATTTGCCCATTAGGGAACGCCACACTGGAAACCCATCCTGGGAGACAAGGGTTCAGATCTGTAAGGCTTCCTAAATGCAGGTGTTGAAGTGTGAAGTGCCCATATTAGCAGTTTGATTTTTCTTAGTTTACATTTCTTCTTGAGACAGGCAGTTTATAAAATTTAATACCAAGATGGGTTCATAGATGGGAAAGGGGCAAAGAGGACACAGAACTGTGAAAAATGATTTCAGAATCTTAGCACAACTAGTGGCTTTGTTAAGAAAATATTACAGCTGAAATCTTTGAATGAGATATTTAAAGCATTTCTTTAAAATTAATACTTAATTTTAACAAACCTCAAAGTCAAAACATTTTAGAGACAGTAAAAGATGTTTTTATCAAGGCTAAAATTTCTGCAAGTTAGAACATATTTTGTTTAAAAATGAATTTTTTTAATTTAAGTGATTTTTGTCAGTTCTGAGAACACTGGAATAGTCTACCCAAATTTTTTAAATAAGACACATACCTCATATTCTTTTCTGCAAACTTTGGAAATATCATTCTTTGAAGATGCCTAAAAGCAAACAAAAATTTTCATTTATTTACTATGCATGCTATTTATTTTGTATAGGACAGAAAGGAACACAAAGTAGTACATGTTAATTGTTGGTATAATATTCTTTATTTCATCAAGGAAAACCTTATACTCAAATATTTAGAATTTCCTAAAATAAACAAATCTTATGTAATGTTTTAAAACAAATAGCACCCCAGGACTTACTCAATATGCAGGAGCTCCAGCCTAAGTTTTATGGTTTTAATCTCATATAACAACATGGTTCTTTTGTTATTTTGGAAACTAGATGACTTTGAAGGAAATGTAAATCAGAGGCCTTTTAAAAAGCTCCACTCTAGTGAATTTTCTTGTGAAGCTCTGCCAGGGCACTTTTTGCTTTTTTTCTTTAACCCTTCATATCCAACACTTTATACTGACTATCTTGAGCCAATTTTCTCAGAAAAGTACCACATATATTGGAGAAGTCAGCGAAAGAACATAGCACTCCAGCAGGCAGTAAACAAGTTACTTCTGGTATTTCTCAACAGTGTATGGAGAAGGCAGTGTTCCCTCTATTGCCCAGAAGACTGATCTCACCATAACAAGTTCCTCATCATGGAGAAGGATGTGCATCTGTGCAAAACAAGGCAAAGCAAATCTGTTGCCAAGTGGTTTTCTTCAACCCATCACCAGGCTCAGAGTAGAGACACTGTTGGGGAAGCACGGGAGCTCATCCCTTGTTTCTCTTCCTCCTAATCCTTCACCTAGTCCCATGCGAGTTATAACAAAGTAGCTGGTAAGGATGGGGGAGGCTGGGTTGGGTTGGGGGCTAGAAGAAGAATGGGTTGGCAACTGCTTTATGTCCCCAGGATTTTAGTTCAAATCCCACATAGCTCAACTTTGCCTCAGTGTTTGGAGGAGAGCAGCAGATTGCCAGGCCGTGTGCTGCCCAAACATTGCAGAGCAGGCTTAGCACAGTGTTGTGTATAAAAGTGAAGGTGGGGCTGGTGCTGGCTCCCGCCTAGAATCCCAGCACACACAAGGCAGAGGCAGAACTGCTGTGAATTGGGACCTGTTTGATCTACATAGGAAGTTACTGGCCAGCCAGGACCACACAAAGACTCTTTCACAAACACAACAAACAAAGATTTCAGCCACAGAAGTGAAGGTAACATTGCCATCTCACATATGGTCTTTAGAACAGGCTTCCAGCTATGTTTACAGGTTAGTTTAAATAACCATTTAAACGGCTAGCTTCCCAGTTAAGTGCACACCCACCACTTGGAGTAGAGAGCCCAGGAAGCCAATGTTACCCATCTGAGAAACTCCTTAAAAACATGCAGGGAAGAACTCAGGGGTCTACCAGAATTTGTAGCACAGACACACCTACCAAAGAGAAGCCACAGCTTAGCTTTGGATAGGGCACGTGCTCAGAGCAAAGCCACGGTGAAAAAGAGAAGGAAGACAACACAAAATAAGCCAGCTGGATCACTGCTTTCATCCAACGATACCCTTGATTCACATGACCATTTGGAGCTACACTGACTCATGTCCTCTACAAAGGATGAAATGCCTTGACTGCAATAAACTCCCCTGTGTTTGGCGGACTGGAGAGATGGCTTAGCGGCTAAGAACACTAGCAGCTCTACCAAACAACCCAGGTTCAATTCCTAACACCCACATGTTGGCTCACAATCATCTGTAACTTCGGTTCCAGGGGATCCAATTTCTCCTTTGGCCTTCACAGGCACCAAGTACACATGTGGTACACAGATATACAAGCAGGCAAAATACCCATACACATAAAATAAATTTAAGACAGGAAAAGAGTAAGAGAAGGTTGAAGATTTTACATGAAGTGGCCTCAACTGAGACACAAGCCTAATGCCAAATGTTCAATTTCTGTAGGTCACCTCTCCAAAGCTATGAAGTAGACAGAGTCCCAAAACTGCATAGCTAAACCTCAAACTGTACTCTATCATGCTTAATAGCCTGGTTGTCAGGTGTTACCTGCTTACATGCCTGTCGACACTCCAAGCCAATAGCCAGTTCACAGCAGCCTAAGCCAACCCAGCCATCGGACTTCTTAAACACACCTGAAAAGCAAAATGTTCAAATGCTTTGGTCTAAGTATCAATGAGGTACAAATAGTATATAAAACTAATAGATATTATTACAAGGCAAAGTAAATGTCCATGAGAAAACTAGTTCAGACAGCAGGGCCTCAAAATGATTATGTATCTCCTCTGGCCCTTACTCCCAATGATGTCAGTTTCCTTGGGGTACCACACTATATAACCATCAGGCCCTTTGGTTTTATCCTTTTTTGTTTGCCCTGAGCTTGGTCATTCTCAGTCTTGGGTAAAACAGCATGTCTATGAGAGGGCATGCAAAGTAAGGAAAGCCAGGGAGAAAGGCCTTTTCCTGATTTCATATTGTGAATCACATACAAATATTCTGATGCAATTTAAGCAAACAGGCAAAAAAAAAAAAAAAAAAAAAAAAAAAAAAAAGAGAGAGAAGCTTTATGTTTATGTTTTGTGTTAAAATATTAAATATGTAGAATAGCATACAACTCATCTCATTTCAAAACTGATACATAGAAAATATGCAGGATCAATATCTATGAGTCAGTCCTGGCTTTGGCGGGCACACCTAATCATTCAAAATAACTTTGTATTATTCTGGCTTTGTTTGCTTCCTGGTATTCAGGCACTCTCACTCTCAGAACAGTGAACAGTATTCTTAGAATAGTGAACAGTATCTGCATGGATCATAAGCTATGTGAGCTGTTACTCATAATGCAGTACATTGCTATCTCCATACATCCAGTAACCTTAGAAAACAAAATTATTCAACAAGCTCTTTCATTTTTTAATCTCTCACTGTATACAAGCTACTCTATTACATGCTACAAGGGCTATGAAATTACAAAGCAGATAAAATATATAAGAAATAGCCCATCATGGAGACTATAGTTTGATCTGAACAGGAGTGCACTGCTCAATTTGTTTGCAATGCAGATTTCAGAGAGAACAACACTTTTTACAAGCTCATATTAGTTTTTCCTAAGCATTGGCTTTAACTAGGGCTGGAAAATGAGCTTCAATTCCAGAAGACCATGAATGTCAGGCTACAGAATTTCGGCTTCATTGTAATGAAAGCAGAAATTTCTGAGATATTCTTTTTAAAGGAGATGAAAAAGACAGATATAAAGTGCTGAAACATTAATCATAAGTTTGTTATTGCATTGTTTATTATTATATAATATTCTACCCAAGAGTGTAGTAACAAAGACTTGAACTAGGAATAGAAAAGACAGATACAAGATCTTGCACAGGGTATGTCAATGGAACTAGAAAGTAAAAGCAATCTAAGGTTATTTTCAGGTTTCTGGGCTAGTATCTTTCTACTTAAGATGTTCCCTGAATGCTGAGATCTAGGCCCCATGATGTTGATTAATCATAAACACCAAATTCCCTTCCTAGGGCCAACTAGTTAACAACTTACCTGTCCAGTGGAGAGAGAGGATGGGGAGTTCTACATTTTAGAACAACCATGTCCTTAAGAGGAAGTGAAAGCAGAGGAATGAGCCTAAGGTCTAAAGCCAGGGTACTAATAAAGGAGGTAGTAGTCAATAAAACCATGTGTTACAGGAAACTCAAAGAGCACACTGTTCTAGAATATTATTTAACTATCTAAAGTTGTGTTACATTTGTTTTTTGATACAGAATATTATTGTAACTGTATAAAGTTGGGCTACATTTGTTTATGCTGCATTTGTTTATGAAAAGACGTGTTGCTGTTTCATCTTGCCTGCAAGGCAGAAGCAAAATACCTGCCCCAACAAGGCAAAAGGGGAGTACTAACTCCTGAAAAGTTGTCCTCTGAACACACAGGTGCCATGGTGTGTACATGCGTCCATATATACATGTACATGCATGTGTGCATATGCACTCATACAATGAAATAATAAATAAATCATTTTTAAAAGCCTACATACAAATCAGATTTAGGACTATGACACAGATTTTATGTTAATAAAATAAGTTTACTTACCTGGCAAAGATGAATTCATACAACTCCAAATTTCAACCTGAAATTGTAATCACCAAAATGATTTTATGCAAATAACTAGCTTCTAAACATGACAATTTCTACACAAATTATGCACAGTTAATTGGATTATGGCTGGGACCATATAGTTAATGTCCTAGTGCTAAATCTATATTTAAAAAAATAATAATAAAAGCTGAACCAGTGAGATGGTTCAGTGGTAAGGGAGATGATATCAATCCCTGGGACCCTTGGACTGTCATGAAAGGAGCAAACCACCTACACACACTGTACTCTGACTTCAATGCACTTGCCATGGTGTACACGCATAACACATGCACACACACACAAAGTGTAAAAATGAGAACTACTGCATATGCTTTTCTCATTTTTCCATTCAAAAGTACTAGGAATAAGACAGGTTTCATGGGTTATTTATTAAAGTTACCATTTCCAAGTGCACTGAAAGTGTCTCCTGAGCAATGTAAGAAGTCAGAACTCCCTGACCTTCAGCTTCTTCCCTCTTCCACACAGCAGAGGCCAGTGTATCTAAAGAAGTTCTCTCACATAAGCTTGTGCTCTCTCGGCCTGGCCCACATACATTCCAAACAATGAAAGCAGCCCAAATCCTAGAGACACAGACTTCCTGATGCAGACTTCAAGCAGTGTATCAATAATAGTGCACCAGAAAATGGAGCATTAACAGTAAGTCACATATTTCCCCTTACCTCAAATTCAATTTTCTAAAATTCAAATAATAGAGTTCATAAAATTAGTCGAAACATTGATAAAATTCTAAATGAAATACTACAGTGAAATACACAATATGTATTCACTTATAAGTAGACATTAGATGTAAAGCAAAGGATAATCAGGACTACAATCCACAGCTCCACAGAAGCTAGGTAACAGGGAGGACCCTAACAGGAACACACGGATCACCGGGGGAAGGGAAATTAGATGAGATCTATGGGGTAACTGGGAACAGGAGGGGGTAGTAAGGGAGAGGGGAGGGGGTGGTAAGGGAGGGGGAGGGGAGATGAGAACATGAGGGAACAGGATGGTCAGGGTGGGGGAAGGATGCAGTGGAAGAGCAATAAAAGATATCTTAATGGAAAAAGTCACTATGGGGTTTGGGAGAAAACTGTGCTAGGGTAATTCCCAATAATCCACTAGAATGACCCCAGCTACAACTCCTAGCAATAGTGGAAAGGATGCCCAAATTGGTATTCTCCAGTAATCAGATTGGTGAATAAACCAACTATCATCATAGAGCCAGCAACTGATGGAACTAGACACAGATTCACAACCAAGAACCTGACCTAGCTCTAGGAATCAGTCAAAGAGAGGGAAGAGGGAATATATGAGCAGGGGAAGTCAGGATCATGATGGAGAAATCCACAGAGACAGCTGAACCAAGCTTGTGGAAACTCGTGAACTCTAGACCAACAGCAGAAGAGACTCTCGGGGACAGAACTAGGCCCTCCATATGTGGGAGACAGTAGGAGCACGAAACAAACCTGGTATATGAGCTAGCTTGCTGGAGCCCATTCCCCATGATGGAATGCCATGCTCAGCCTTAATGTTTTCGAGAGGGGCCTGGTCCTGTTCCAACCTATTGTGTCAGACTTTGTTGACTCCTCATGAGAGCCCTTACAGGTGAGGAGAATTGGACTGGGGTTGGGCTGGGGAGGAGGTGAGGGGGAGCAGGAGGAGTGGTGGGAGGGAGTACTGTAATGTAAAAGAATAAGTTAATTATAAAAAAAAGACTAGAATACATTTACATGTAAGACTATTTGTACACCTAGGCCCTAAAATAGAAGATAGACAGTGAAAGACACTAATCTATTTAGCAGTTTATCTTAGGTTTAAATCCTTATCACACATTCCAACCACACTTGAGACATTTGATAAATCTGAAAGTAATTTATCAAATTACTGATGACTTCATGTACCCAAAAGCTGTCACAGTGGCATAAGACTCACCATCGCTTCTGGGCAGTAATCTGGGGCTCTCTGCAGCAGGTGTTTCAGTCGGGATTCACTTTTTGAGGAGAAAATCTATTTGAAAAAAAAAAAAGTCAAAAACCTTTGAGACTTTTCTTTTTAAAAAAAGAAGGGATAAAAGTATCATCCTCTAGATATACAAGTTTTCTGGAATGCTTTTGTTTTATGAAGGGCACCTTTGGAGAGCTCTAGATCAAGCTTAGGTAAGATCTATTTTACACACTTGGTCTCATAGGCCAGGCTGGTTTGAATTCAGGGTCCTCCTGCCTCAGTGTCCAGAGTGCTAGCATTACACACCCAGCTTCTGAATCAACATTTCTTATAAGAGTATTTGGTTAATTTTGGAAATAATCAGGAAAAGTCCAATTGCACCAAGTTGAGAATCTTTTCTATTATCCAAAAGTAGAGAAAAACAAGCTAAATAATACTAAATGTTATTTAGTCACTTGTCTCTATAACTAGCAAATATAATTAAAAAGTAATAGGAATTAGAATATTACCATTTTACAATACCTAGTGAAATAATGCATTTAGGCAATAATTATCAACAGTGACTACTAAACATCACATAAAGGGACAGCTAGATCAATTATCTTTCATGGAGAAGACTTGCCAAACAAAACAAAAAAAATCTTCCAGTCTGGTCAAATGTCTGGCTTTATTTCATAAGGCAGATGAAAATCAACTGTGGCTAGTCAGTTTAAATGTAAATCAAGCAAAATTAAATAAAAATAGCAGAATATAGGGACATACACCTGTAATTCCAGCACTTGGACTAGACTAGGCTACATTGACAGTGTGTACTGTCATACACATACACTGGATGTGGTAATATAAACCTATAACCCTAGACCCTCAGAAGCAAAAGGAAGAAGCAGAAGCCATACCTGGTGCATAATGAGTTTGAGCCTAAGTCACATATGGAAGTATGGACTTGACTAAATATGGAAGTAACTAAACTCCTCGGAGAACCTGTTGGGGTTGTTTCTAGGCCGAATTATTTGAGGTGGTCAGAAGATCTACACCTTCTGGTGGCACCACACATAAAAGGACATGGAAGAGGTAAGCTGGCACTTTCTGTCTGCTTGCCCTCTCTCTCACTTGAGTTCATTTCTCCTGAGCCATTCTTTTGATGATGCTAGAACCTACTTCTTCAGAACCCCAATGTGGATTTAAAACTGGCAGCTCTCTCAGACCTCCTTGGGACTCCAGTACCTGACAGAGACTACTGAGACGTCCAGTCTTGTGGACTGAACAGTTACTGGATCCTTGGCCTTTCTGTTGGGAGACAGCCATTGTTGAACTACTCAGACCACAGCCTGTGACCCCTCCCCAAGCACCTCTGTGTGTGTGTGTGTGTGTGTGCGCGCGCACGCTTTCATCCTTTCAATTCTGCTTTAAATCAACCTACCAGTTACTAAGAAACACAGGCAGGCTGGAGAAATGGCTCTGAGATTATGAGCACTGACTGCTCTTCTAGAGGTCTGAGTTCAATTCCCAGGAACCACATGGTGGCTCACAATCATCTGTAATGAGATCTTGTGCTCTCTTCTGGCCTGCAGGCATATATGCATGCAGAACACTGGGTACATAATAAAAAAGAAAGAAAGAAGAAAAAAAGGAACAGACAAAAGACATTAAATGATAACACAGAAATTTGAACAGCAATTTAAACTACGGGAAAATCAACAGGCTAAATAAACTCAAGTTTATTCAATAAAGCAATTCCAAGAAAGCTACAGATCAGCTAAGTAGAGTATACCTGTAATCCCAGCCTTAGGGAGACTGAGGCATGATGACTGGGGATATGACCCCAGCCTGGGCTATATGGTAAGTTCTAGGCCAGCTTGGGCTACAGTGTAAAAGCTGCTTTAAACAACAGCAGGACTGGAGAGGTGGCCTTATGGTTAGGAGCCCTTCATGCTCTTGCAGAGGACCTGAGTTTGGTTCCCAGAATTAGCATTAGGAGACCATAACCTCCTGTAACTTAAGCTCCAAGGGGACCTGATGCTTTTTTCTGGGTTCCATAGGCACCTGTGCTCATAGGCATGTACCCATACACATAATTTTAAAAATAAATTTACAAAAAAGCAAGAGTAATAACTGCTCTTAAGCACTGAATCATCACTCCAGCTCCAAATATTATATTTTCAAATAAGTGATAAGAATAGTATAATTGTTATTGCTATTTACATGTAGGCATAGTCTACAACTGAGTTATATTCTCTGACTAGTATGGCTTTTTTCTAAAGTCCTTATAATTTATAATTTATAAATTAAGCTTAAAAATCATGTAACAAATAATAGGACAATTAGGATTTCCTCCTAAACCAAATATAAATTTGCTTTAATAGACTAGGGAAGAGGAATGAGAAGACTACAGGGAATTATAAATGAAACATAATTGACCGTGATTAATAGTGTTAAAGCTTAATATGGGATTGATTACACTTATCTATCTATCTATCTATCTATCTATCTATCTATCTATCCATCCATCCTTGAAATTTTCCATGATAAAAGGATAAAAGGAAAAATAAGAGGGGGGAAAAAACGAAAGAAGGACAATAAGGAAAGATACGGAGTAAATGAATAATCTTAGCAGTGGACTGGGAGGAAACAGAGAAAGCTATAAATAATCTCCTGGGGGCTGGAGAGATGGCTCAGCAGTTAAGAGCACTGGCTCTTCTTCCAGAGGGCCTGGGTTCAGTTCCCAGCACCCACATGGCAGCTCACAATCATCTGGAACTCATGTTCCAGGGGATTCAACACCCTCTTCTCTGCAGGAACCAGGTATGCAAGTAGTACATAGACATACGTATAGGCAAAACCCTCAAATGTAAAGTAAATATAAAAATGAAAGTATTTTTCAAAATCATCTCCTTGTTTCTCCTCTATATTTTTCAAAAACAATAAAGGCAAACACAAAGTAAATAAAAAAAAGTCCAAGCACCTGAAACAGGTTAGGAAAGTGGTGAGAACATGGACTGAGATTATAAATAATATGCTCTGAGACTGGACCACCTGACTGGCCTTGTATCAGGGTTACATCTTGGTGGCTAAGTATGGATTGCATAATGAGTGATCCTGAGCACTTGGTTTCTATTCCTCCGATCACTGGTGTGGAAACATTAGTAAGTTATTTAACTCTTTTATATCTCAATTTCTTTACTTATTAAATAAAGATGACATCACATCCAGTCTATTAGAAAATTTGAATAATGACTGAGATCACTACTTCTCAAATTCTAGAGAACTTCTAAGGCCACATAATAGCCCTGAGATGATGAAAGGAAGTTAGGACTTTATGAAGAGGTATTGATTCATTAGAACTTGCATAAAAAGGCTCAACCAGGAAAAAAAAAATCAAGAGTAGGACAATGAATACATAGTACCAACAGGTCTACCATTAACACTTTACATTTGCTCTCACTATCTCAGATATACACATATTGCTATTATCAGCATCTTGCTTATTTAGGGATTCATTATAGACAGTGAGCTTACTTGTTCCTATATCCTAGCATGGGCTTGGGATGTAGTTGAGTTGGTAGAGTGCTTACCCAGCATGCTCAAAACCCCATGTTTTAGTTCCAGCACTACATAAAGTAGGTGTGATGATGTACAACAGTAATCCCAAGCCTGGGATACATGAGACACTGTTAGAAAAATTCCCCAAACAAAAACCAAACACAAACACAAATACCCCAAATTAAATCTTAGTATGTTATCTCTTTAGAATAAGGGCTCTGCCCTACCTAACCACAGTACAAACCACAGTACAATGACTAAGTTCAGGATCACAATACTGATAAAATACTATCAGTTCATATTTAGGTCATAATCAACTTCACCAATTCATCTCACTAATTCTTGTTATGAAGTTTATTTTTATTCAAGAATCATTCACTGCATTTGGCTGTCAGATTTCTTTAGTTAATTTTATCTATAATCATCCTTTAGTCTTTCTTTGCTTTATAATAGTGGCATTTTTTAAAATATCTGATATGTCTGAAGAATACAGGCTATTATTTCAAGGGACTTCCCTCAATCTGGGTTGACGTGATTGCTTCCTTATGATTCAGTTTATGATACTATGGTTCTTTCCAGTGCTTCATGTCAGCTGACACATTATTTGTGATGTACAACAGACTTTTTAAAAAACAAATTTAATAAATGACTTATCTGTGTGCACAAGAATCAAGCTTACCTGTTCACAGACATCACGGCACATTTGGTTATCCTTTGAATGATTACAACATACAGCACCTAGGGAGAAAAGGAAACATGATGTCTCACTCACTGTTAAACTGTCACAGGATTATACAATGTGACTGTTCAGTAGATTGTTCATTTTGTTTTCTGTTTTTGAAACAGGTCCTCCTGATACCACAAGTTGGCATCCAAACTCCTCATCCTCCTGACTCAACCCCCAAAGTGCTGGTAGTAGAGACTGTATGTAAAGCATGTACTATCACATCTGCTGTCCTTACTCATTTTAACTGGATCTTCAAAGAGCATCTATTACAACTGAGATACTAAGTTTGGAAACTAATAGAAAAGACTATCATATAACAGAAGAGTTACCATTTAGTGTGTACTTTCTATGTGGTACAATTTCTACTAAGCTTGTTTATATACTAAATTTTTCAGTCATTAAGATTACTCTATGGACAATATTTTATTGACTATGACACAAAGCTAAATTGGTTTTAAAATAGATAGTGAATTTTGTTTAGGACTTGCTGAATTTGAGGTTCCTATGGGAATTCTGGTAGAAAATCTGGTGAAGTCCAGAGTCAAAGCCTGAAAAGAGCCCAGCCTTAAAGATCCAAACGTGCAAGTCCTGAGTATAAAGCATAAAAGAGTATGGCGCTGTCTAGGGAGAGTTTCTACTGAAAAGTAAGCACAGCAGCAGATCCTAATGCATTGGAGACATTCGGAGGAACAGGAAATGTGGCTGACACAGAGCAAGAGGGAGGCCAGCCACTAAGTGACCTATGTTACAAGGAATGCCAGTTACCCACACAGGTAGAAGACAGATAGAATGCTGGAAAAAAAAATGAATTTTCTTAGAAAGCCACCTTCTTGCTGGGTGTGGTGGTCCATATCTGTGATTCTAGCATTCGGGATGAAAAAGCAGGAAAATTAGGAGTTCAAGGCCAGTCAGGGCTACATGAGACCCTGTCTCAGAAAATATCAAAATAAAAATAAAATAAAAAGCTACCTATTGAACATCTCAGATAACTTCTTTTTATTTACTCACTTGCTTATTTATTTTGTATGCATGAGGTGAAGAACAGTAGTCAACATACGGGAAGAAACTAAGAGAAAAAACTGTCAACAGAAGGTCCTCGAAAAAGCCACTTTTAGTTGAATATTCTACAGACTGAGTAGGACTTCCTGATTGTGGTAAACACAATTATCTTGGGCTATCTTTAGTCCTTAAGAGCCATTTATCACCCAGCTCTGTACCAGACATGATATCCTTTTGACTATCACATAAGATCTCTGGAATGCACTAATTTAGCAGATCATTAACCAGCTTTAACTAACCCCGAAATTGAAAGTGTAATCAAGTAGCATCTGAAACCCAAAACAGAAATCTCCCCACTTTGCTACAACCCATTTACCTAGTTAATGCCCTCACCAACATATTTAGTAACCATAAAAGCTACTGATTTATTACTCTCTTCTGTTGTCTGACTACAGAAGTTTTTCCACAGTGGACCATGTCATCTAGGGTAACCAGAATCCATGTTCCTGGGCCATAGTTGCTCATATTTAGCTCAGAAGAAACTATTTATTATTCCCTTTGGAGCAGGAACATGTTCTGCTTGCCAGAGCAACAACCAAGAAACCAAGTAAGTAAAATGATTCAAGACAGTGGTATGTGTTACATGCCGCTGTCATGTGAGTTGGAATTCCCACTGATACAATATTTAGGATTCTAAAAATACTTTTGTCAGTGTGGACCAGCAAAGGCAAAGCCCAGTTCAAGAAGGTACACATATCCACTTTCCAGGATTAGGCTGTACAATGAAGAATCTAGGTGGCTTTTGTTCTAGCTTTTGAGAGGGAAGATGCTAGATCCTTTGAATTTCCTCAACAATAGGAGTGCCTTTGCTATGTGATATGAAGTAATCCAACTGGGTAGCTTCAGGATGGGGACTAGCCAGGCCTGAAAGACTAGCCTGCAACCAGAGGATTGGGGATTTGAGTCATTTATTAACTTGACCTTTCAATCATTGGTGGTGGAGATGGAATCGAACCATTTGACTAATAATCAGTTAATCCTATACAATGAAACCAGATAAAGCCTGACACAGAAGCTTAGTGAAACTTCCTGGCTGGTGACATTAAAGTGCTGGGGAGATTTTATACATGTAAATCTACATTGATTCTGCTGGGTTTGGTGGCACATGCCTTTACTTCCAGTAGGGGCACACAGATCTCTGAATACAAGGTCAGCTGGCCCTGTGAGTCTTTATTTGGCTGGTCCTCCTGGTTCATGCCCTTTATAAATAACACTTAGCGCGTATTCTACCTTGGAGCTACTTTAAGTCATTTTAAGTATACTGCTTTCCTGAGCTCTCAGTTGTTCTTGGGAGCTACTGACCCTGGGTCATGGGAACAAAGGTCTATGCTCAGATCAAAAGTATGTGAGGGGGCTGGGTAGATGGCTCAGTGGTTAAGAGTTCTTGCTACTCTTAGCATCTATATTAGGCAGCTCAAAACTACCTATAATTCTAGCTTCAGGGATGTCCAACACCCTCCTCTACAGGCACCTACAGAAGCATGGCATACACTCATAAAAATATAATAATAATTCTTTTTTTTAAAAAGTGATAACCTTGTGAGGCAGGCAATAGCTTCCCTCGGGCAGTAAGGACAGGGCTCAGGGTAGACGAAGAGCTAGCTGTACAATCCAAGACCCCTTCCCCTGAGTAAGCAAGTCTGGCTGGACCTGTGGACACCTTAATGGCATAGTCCCCATGTCCTCAAAAATGGTCAATTCCAATGGGAAATACCCCAATCTCCACCCAATCCCTGTCATAGAATCCACTGGGCAGGGCAGCAAGCGGGCACTCTTCCAAGGGGGCCCTTCCCACTCCCAGGGCTTCTTTCTTATGGTTCTTTAATAGACCTGTTTGTTCCAGTTAATCCTTGTTAGTGTTTCTTATTCTTGGGCATGAGATATCACACTCAAAATCCACTGGCTCAGGGGACTTTGGTGACTGACTGTCCAATGTCCTCAATTTCCTAGATAAGGTCACCATGAGCTAAGAATGGCTCCACTGTACTCAAAGGACCTGAAGTAAGGCTGGCTTATGTAGTAAGCTGTCTTGTTAGCTCTATGCACTTTAGCCTGCAAATTTGTGCAGACCCTAGGTGGGTATGGCAGAACTGGACCGTAGTATAACCAAGTGGAGGTCAAGCAGAACACAGTGAAATGAGGTGGTTGATGGAAGATGTAGGTTCAAGAGAGGGCCCTGAGTTTCAAGAAGGAGACAGAGTAGTGAACAACGAATTGTGTTCTTTAACTTCAGGTAAATTACAGTCCTGTGGCAATATAACTAGAGTTTTAGGGAAAAATACTTAAGGCTCTGGCAGCACCAAGGCTGGTTAGGCTTGGTCACCTATCTTAATACAACAATTAAAGAGATAATAATAAAAAATACACAGCTAATAAATGTGCTTGAAAGAGAAACAAACAAAAGGGTTCAATGACTTCAAGTTTGCCTTTAGGGTACCGATAGCTTTCAGTTTAAACAGAGAAGGTATTGAAGCAGTGGCCAAGAGGTTATATAATTAATCAGCCCTGGTTAAGGTGTGGTCTGGATGAGTGTTGTCTGTTTTCTCTTCCCAAAGAGGGTCCTAAGAACTTGTCAGAGCTGTCACAAGCTCCAGAGGACCAATCTGGTTCCTAAAGGGTAATTGCTTTGGCTGCAGGGGACAGAGAGAAAAGGGGGCGGTCCTGGAAGGTTTGGCTGTTCCTACTCTCTGTGACTTCAGTCTTGAAAGAAAACAGGTACACTTTGAGTGATTAACATGCCTAGAGTCAAGCAGAAGTCATCCAAAGTAAAGAGACAGAATGAAGAAAGAGGTGCCAGGCTTTGTCTTGCTGACTTTGTGGGTCAGTGAAGAGCTCAGTGCCTTTTATGAAAAGCAGTTTCATGAAAAGCCTTTATGAAAAGCAACTGTTGTAGGAGGATAAAATCCTAGCCAAGGAAAGCATTTAAAAACCGTGCTAAATGAGAAGGGAAGGTGACAGCAGCTACCTTCTATGTGAAACAGACCGGGTATGATAACAGGATTGGGATGTGTCATGTGGGCTTGAGCTGGAACTGTCAAAGTCTGAATGGGCCCCTTTAAGAAATGTAGACATGTTTTTAGATGTTGTTTGTTTTGGCTTTTGGTTTTCCAAAACAGGGTTTCTCTGTGTAGCCCTGGCTGTCCTGGAACTCGCTTTGTAGACCAGGTTGTCCTCAAACTTACAGAGACCCACGTGCCTCTGCCTCCTGAGTTCTGGGTTTAAAGCCATGCATCGCCACAGCCCAGTTGTACGCAAGATTTTAAAACTTGTGTTCAAACAGGCTTCTTTTTTAAACTTACATTTCAGACAACTACATCTGGTACAATGACTTAACTATATGTAAAACTAGGTATGTTTGCACATGTAGTAATATATACAACATAATCTTCCATTCAAATAAAATCTATAATTCTTGTATATAAATGAGATTAAAAACTGATTTTTAAATTGAATATAGGATTAGTATTGGAGGAGAAAATAATGAACAAACAAGCAACCAAAAAAAGGGAACTCTTAGATCTTAACTTAAAAGGCTGCTAAGCTCAACACTAGAAAAAATTTCTCCAGAAAGCAATGGTGAGACCTGTGGTGTTACTGAACAATTCATTTTCATGAAGGACTACTGTGGGTGAGCTTTTTCATGGGGATTCTATGTGAAAAGCTTCTGTAAGTTCTCAATGTGTGACTTAGAGACTCTCAAACACAGCCTGTGTAGTGTAGACCTGCAATCCCAGCACAGCCTGGTGTAGTGTAGACCTGCAATCCCAGCACAGCCTGGTGTGTGATGCAGACCTGCAATCCCAGCACTGGAGATCTGGAGCAGAAGGGACAAAAAGGAGTTAAATTCCAGCTTGAGTTACAGAGGGAGTTTGAGGGGAAATTTTTAAATCTAAAAATGACAAGAAAAGTCTAAATACACCACACACACACACATTATGTTTTAAGAGGGGAA